CTTCCAACACAGTTTCTCAGTTTTAAGCCCTTATCCAACCATGCTGTTTCTGTTTTCCAATTAATGAGCTGTGTTTCAACCTAAATCTGAAATTGTGATTCATATAGGATAGTAGGTATAATTGTTGATCATACACCTGACTATAATCGCTACAAAATCCCTTGACCTGTGTGTGCTAATTGTATGTGTTACGTATAATGTATTAATGCTGTTTGGAAGGCAAATGGTGTAGTAATCACAAATATTGATTTGATTTAGATTTTTCTTTTGTTCGCTTGTAAATGGATAAAAAGAAATTAAACAATTTATTTAATATTGTTTTAAAAAAGCATTTCTTAAGTTTGGTTATCTAACGGAGCCATGAGTTAAGCATAGTATTGATTGTTTATTGAATCGCTAAAAAAAATAAATATAGATAATGAAAAAAATAAAATTAATTTAATTAATTTGTGCATTCTCTGCTATAAATTATTGTAATTTGTTTTGTAAGAACAGCCCCACGCACGTCACAAAAAAGCGAAGCTAACACAGACCGCTGACTGCACGTACAATGGGCTACCAAGTAAAATGTTATAGGGAACCTATTTTGTGAGACTGTTGGGTGTCCTCTGTAAATGTTAAGAGAGAGTGTCGGTCTAGACCCAGTGCTCCTAAAAAAATTGAAAAAAAGTGTCCATGAGTATAACCTTCTGTTAATGAATTGGCATCTGAATACACTAATAAAAATTGAATTGAATTGAATTGAATTGAACAAGTGTGGTCCTGGTCCCCAATCCCCTCCCTGGAAAAATGTCCATGGAAAAATAGGTTTGTCACTACCAAGGCAACACCTTTCAATTTGTTTGTCTGAGCCCCAGGGAGATAACGGATGGCAGGTATATAATTATGTATGAGTCAAGCTGCCAAAAATATGGTTTGACCCCAAAAAAATTCTAACAAAAGGGTTTCTGCCAGTGGTTTACAGCAGTATCAGATGTACTTAAAAACATACTTTCAAAATGGCGGCCCCTCAAGGTTCCCTATAAAATGACGCAATTACTCCTTTGTATTACTCCTAGACCAGGAATACTGGTGCCTGTTCATTGTTTTTGGCCAGTGTAAGTATTCTAATTAGGCATATTTGCGATGATAATAAAGTGATTACAAATACAATTAATATTAACAGCAATTGGTTCAAGCAATAATTATGCCGAAAAAATAGTCAAATTTCCCTTAAGTAATTGCATATTTCTCCTTCTCCCATAAAATCTTTTGCCTACTTTTTTGATTCCAATAAAAGAATAAACTTTAAACTTCAGAACTGTGTGGTAACTGTAAAATTTGTCAAAACAGGGCTGCCGAAGCGTGAAGGCCTCAGTACCGCTAAACCCCCTTTTATTTTTTTGTGTTTTATTTGTTTACATTTTTTTTTAAATAACTTTTCTTATTTATAGCATATCTTTTCTAATTCCTTCCTCAAGTTGTTTCCTCTTATTCATGGTTTTATTTTTTATACTTCTTTGTACTGTGACCTATTCAGCTAATTACCCTTAATTGTACACTCTTTCCTCCCCAATAGAGTTTGATTATAGTGAATTCTCCAGCCCAGATCCCAAAACTTGACATGGTCCGACAAAGCAGGCATGCATGGCAGTCCAATAATGGCCTTGCAAACTGCAACCCGTTGTGTTTCGGCAGGGCAGTGGCAATTACAGGGATGCATCTGGCAGGAGGCTTTCTGGGGCAGCAGTCCCCTTACTGGTCATCAACATGGCAGGAAGTGTCCACCCAGTTTCCCATCCCAATCCACTGTGTTGCGTTAGTTATCCTCCCCCTTTCCAAAATCCACCACCTATGATCTGGAGAGTAAACTCCTTTGGCCAGTGTATCTTGGTTGAGGACTCCCAGTTTCGAGGCCAGATGTTTCTGGGGTACAAATGATTTGGCCGGTAAACGCCATTGCCCTTGTCGCCAATGGTCTTCTGTGACATTCCTTGGGCATTGATGTGGAGCAGAAAACACATTATGGCACAGGACTTGGATGGTTGATATCACCATTCAGAAGTTTCTGGAATGGCTGTCTGTCTGTATATATTCACAACACCTAAAAATGCGTGAAGTTGTATCCACCAGCTTTGAAGGTGGCAAACAAGCAACTGGGAAAACGACAAGTCACCAGTCAGAGACTTGTTTCATCTCACTGATGTTGTACACCTTCCAGATAGCTTGGACTTTATTGTTGTCCAAGGGCCATAGTAGAGGAAAAGAAAGAACTGAGTAAGTCTGTATGCCTCCCCCCTAATCAAAGGTTGTTGGGCTGATGTTCTGCGAACAGCCAAACTCTGCTACCAAGTTGACGTTAAGACAGTTTCATGTCACAGATCATACATTATGGCAAGGCTGAGCACCGCAACAAGACACAAGGTAGTTATACTGCATCAGCAAGGTCTCTCCCAGACAAAGATTTTAAAGCAGACTGGGGTTTCAAGATGTGCTGTTCAAGCTCTTTTGAAGAAGCACAAAGAAACGGGCAACGTTGAGGATCGTAGATGCAGTGGTCGGCCAAGGAAACTAAGTGCAGCAGATGAAAAACACATCAAGCTTATTTCCCTTCGAAATCGGAAGATGTCCAGCAGTGCCATCAGCTCAGAACTGTTAGGAACCAGTGGGATCCATGTACACCCAACTACTGTCCGGAGTCTGGTCAGAAGTGGTCTTCATGGAAGAGCTGCATCCTAAAAGCCATACCTCCGACATGAAAACAAGGCCAAGCGACTCAACTGTGCACAAAAACATCGGAACTGGGGTTAAAAAAATGGCAGCTCTGGTGCTCTGGAGTCAAAATTTGAAATATTTGGCTGTAGCAGAAGACAGTATTTTTCTTACAAGTTTGGGGCTGTATTTCTGCAAATGTAGTTAGAGATTTGGTCAGGATTAATGGTGTCCTCAATGCTGAGAAATACAGGCAGATACTAATCCATCATGCAATACCATCAGGGAGGCGTATGATTGGCCCCAAATTCATCCTGCAGCAGAACAACGACCCCAAACAACAGCCAATGTCATTAAGAACTATCTTCAGCGTAAAGAACAAGAAATCCTGGAAGTGATGGAATGGCCCCACAGAGCCCTGATCTCAACATCATTGAGTCTGTCTGGGATTACATGAAGAGGCAGAAGATCTGTGGTTAGTTCTCCAAGGTGTTTGGAACAACCTACCAGCTCCTTCAAAAACTGCAGGTGTAGAAGAATTGATGCTTCCATTTTTGAAAGAATTCTCAATTTACAGCATTTTTCACACCTGCCTAAAACTTTTGCACAGCACTGTATATAAATTTAATTTCCCAATATCGGCTGATAACTTCTGTTCTGATAGTTATTATGCATCCTTAATTTATAGACTGTATGCACGTAGATATGGTTTGAATTTCGATCCATTGCCTGGTGTTTCCATGATGGGAAAACTAGTCTAAAAATGTCCAGGTTTTCCAGGATGCATGGGAGCCCTACCAAAGAATTATCACAAACTCTGCAGTTCCCCTCATCTCTCTGGAGCTTCTTAGCCTCTTTTAGCTCCTTGTTTTAGTTTTATGACCCATAAACTCACAAAAAGCCATTTTATACTACCCACTAAGCTAAAGAGCTTAAGGGAGAGTGACCTACATTCATCAGGTAGACACAAACATGACTACATACTACAAACTGTTAGTTGACAGCTTTGTTGTCACTACAAGGTGATAATCTGTTTCAGGGAACTTTACTGCCCCCAGTTGTGCCGAAAAAAAAGCAGGCAGCTTTAAGATCTAAAGGGACAGAAGGGTACTTCTAGAGGCTTGTGCTGCAGTATGTAAACATTATAATAATAACTTTATTTATATAGCACCTTATTAAAACAGTTTACAAAGTGCTTTGACAGACAAAGCAAACTTATAGCTGTGATACACAAAATGTAATTTGATGTAAAGATATTTTGCCATTTGAAAATAATTGAAGAATTAAATAGGATAAAGTAAAAAGATGACATCACATAAAGGCAAGTCTATAAAATGGGTTTTAACAAGTGATTTAAAAGAAGCCAAAGCTTCTATCCTCAGGCAGGCCATTCCAAAGCTGAAGAGTTCTGATGGCGAAAGCACAAACTGCCAGAAGGGTACACCTGAATAAGGCTGCAAACTGTCTCATAAGGGGTCAACATTTGGACATTAATGGCGACTGAGCTGTCACGTTAGAGCAGGGCTCAGCTGTCAATCATGATGTGAAACCCCCTTTTTATAGCTTCACATACTTTATTAAAACCAAACTGGTCAGAAAAATGAACACTTGAACATACAGCGTGATCTGTCTAAAATGACAGAAACCATCTTTGAGAAAAAATTATTTGACGTGTACTTTTACTACTTTTTTAGTTTGGCCCCTCTGTTAACAAGGTGGCCGCAGGCTTTATGACCTATACTGCAGTCAGCCACCAGGAGGAGATAGAGATGTTTTGGCTTCATTGGCTGTGATGTACGCAATGTACGCAATGTCTGTGTATTTTGCAGGTAAGAAAACATAAAATGGGTAATAAGCAGATGTGTAGCATGGTGTCAGGATATTATAGAGATGGTTATAAAGTTGGCCGTATATTCCTACTGTGTATGTTTTAGTGACACTTAACTTTTGTTGTTAGCCATGTAAATGTAGCAGCTAAGCTAACTTTTGCTGGGACCCAGCGTTGCTATATTTTACGTGTGTGTTTGTAATGCTTTTGCCCAACTGTGAATGCAGTCATGATGAAACAGGGAGCCACAGTAATAGTTTGTGTAATATGTATTTGTTTTGCATTAGTTGTGTCTGTGTATTTTGCAGTGCCAGTAAAGTAAGGAAATACTAAGTCATTCTTTATTCACTTGTGCAACATGTCGATGGTAAATTGACACAAATCAAAAAGTTAAAAATAAACAGGGTTCCCACTCGTCCTGGAAAATATGGAAAATATTGAAAACCTGGAAATTTAGAGACTAGTTTTCCAGTCAAAGACCTGGAATTTGATTAAAATGACCAAAATGATATATTTTTTTAATTTCAGTTGTATTCCAGCATGGCCTACATAAACCTGTGTGTGTATAACTGTTTGTAAGATGAGCTGTGCGGTTTGACACACAAAGAAAAATGCCTGTCGGTCAGTCTAGCTGTTCACACCAGATGTGAGCTATAAGAAGAATTTTTAATGAAGCTCAGTGGAAATGCAGGAAATGCTCATACAAACTGTTAACTGTAACAAACACTGAGGTGAGAACAGCCAAGTGCGCTATAAAGGTGAGCTAATATTCAGTATGAACCCTGCATCATTAAAAAAGGAGTCAGTAATAGGCCTACCGGTAAACTATTTGACCGTTTTGAGCAAGTGCTGTTCTATATTGTCAAGAAAAACTCCTGGAAATAATTTAAAAAGAGTGGGACCCTCTCTGGATGAACCAGACCATGTGCCAGAATCATAGATGACTTTTATTTCTTAATTTTGTCCAACACAGAACCTCACGTTTAGACAGCAACACATACAACATCTCACATAAATGTATTATCATCACAGGAAACCATGGCTTCACCATGGCAAAAACACAGAAGTTGTTTTAAATATCATTTCACTCAACCATGGATTTTAAAGTGCATACATCTGTATAATAGAAAACATACACACTGCAAAAAATGAAAAGCTCCACAAGCAACTTTATGTTCTCTGTCTCTGAACAGCTGCTTTCAATAACATCCTGATCATGTCCACGTCTCAGTCATGTTACAGCAGATTAACAGCCTGTAAATAAATAATTATATAAAAATAAATAATACATAAATAAATATCTGAACAACAATAAATAACTGAACTGCCATCTGGGTAAATAATAAAATTGCTTGCTTGTCATTTTTACAGTGCACAGAATGAGATGCTATTGTGCTACATGTGCCTATGTACAGTGATACAGGTTCTCCAAAGTTAGGAAACAGACACCATTTATCAGTCAAAAACATGTTGTTTTGGTTTTGGGGAGTGGAAAGTTGATTTTCCATAACTCAGATGTAGAACACTCATACATTTCCACTCATGGTTAAGGAGGAAACTCCAGGAAGAAAATTGTGAAATGTTCTTAAATCTTTTGTACAGTTCTTTCAATCAGTAATATTGTCATAAAAATAAGTGCAATTTAGATCAGTACCAGAAACCGGTTGGTTCATGTAACACAAACTGGATCCCTTCGACAAACAGCCAATGGGACTTCTCCATTGGATTTTGGAGTGTTGCAGAAACTATGCTCTGTGGCAAACAAAGGTTCATGAAACTTACATGTTTTTTGTAAGTATCATTGATAATCTCACTAATGAACACCACACGCCAGTTTTGAAATGTAAATGCGACCACCACAAGTAAAAAGCTAACATTAACCTACAAAAAAACTACACCACGGTCGCTTGACTTCCAACTTGTAATTCAATCTTGTAAATAAAATTTACAAGTTGTTTGAGTTTAAATAGTTTGCAAAACGTGAGTGTACCCAAATCAGTGACTGGTTTGCCATCTATCCGCGCCGCCATTACTGCTGCTACCTGTTAAGAGTGACAGCAGTATGGGTAGTTGGACTGAGGATGTTAGGCAGTGGCCTCCAGTTACTGATGAAGGTACCTTATATGGATGAGATCTTACTGTCACATCATGTGAATAAAAGATGATTTCTATTAAGGGGCATCCACACCATGAACAATAACGATGTGGTTATGGTTCTTGCTGTGGACGCCCCTTAAGTTCTGAAGTACTGATTAAAATAAAGATTCTTGCTAAGATATGATATAACTTGGTCATCATCATCGACAGATATTGTGAAATAGACTTGAAGAGACTTGAAAACCCCATGAAGTCATGAAGGTTGAAACTATCATCGAAGGCTCTGCCCCAGGATGATGAAAGACGACATTGTTTTAGGACAAAGAATATATTTTAAACTTAATAGAATACATCTCAAAATGGGAATATAACATGTTGACACACATTTATGAGACAGAACCAAGCTTCATTCTCTTTCAGGTGGTTCGAAATGGAAGCTGAAAAAAATGTATTTTCCAATGACAAGGATATGATGACTTTATCATACAAACTATTCAATTCAATTCAGTTT